ATCTGTGAGATTGTTATGAGTAATTTTTTACTGCTGATCTGCACTGTGTTGGCACATGACATTGAAGAAGACAACGGGATGAATTATAGCCTTAATTTAAGGATATAATTCCTCCCCTTGTACACTTTCAGAAAGACATCTGCTGTGATGAAATCTATTCCTCACTGCTGTGTAATCCATTATTGTAGATTGAAATGTTATTAGGAAATGATCAGACAAAACAGGGTTTTCAGGAAATACTGTTAACTGTTCAGTTTCCATCCCATATGTCACAACAAGATCTAGTGTATGATTAAAGTGGTGGGTGGGTTATTTTTTCATTTTGAATACAACAGATTAAATGCATGGATGATAAAATCACCTACAATAATTATTCTATTATTATTATTCTATCTGAGCACTAAATCAGATAAAAATTCTGAGAAAACAGCCAGAAACCACGAGGCCCAAGTGAACAATAACAAATAAAGCTGTTTATGTGGCTGCAATTTCAAATAAATTACAACTCTGCCTGTGTCTTTGGTTGATTAATAAGCTGGAGTGGAAGATTGCTGTCACACCCCGACTTATATTATTTAATAATAGACACTATTTTACTCTTTGGTGCATTTGTGGATACTATGTTTTTCTTTTGTTGTGATTTTTTATGTTTAAGTCATTATTTTGCTGATTTTTGGTTTGTTTTTTCTTGGTTTGGACACAGACACAGTCTCTAAGGGGATGGGGTTTTGGGGGATAACAGGGGGAGAGAAGCTGTGGAGAGGCGTGTAAGACTGCGACTCTGCTTCCTGATCCCAACGCTCGATAGTCACGCTTTTTTTGTGGGGGGGAAATTATTAGAGACATGGACAGTTTGGTGGTGTGGTGGTGTGAAGAGTGAAGAGGCCAAGGTACTAGTCAGTTGGCTACGAGCTAAGCTAAGGTAGTGAGTCCCTAAAGATGAATGAATACTTTGAATATAATTAGCGGGTTATTCAACAGAAAGTGTGCTTTGGATAAAGCATTTAAGGATTACACTATGTAATAATATAAGTTTTTAGATCAAATTTGAATCGAAATAAGCTACAGAAAACACCACTGTGTGCTGTAACAGGAACAGGAAGTGATGCTCTACCCCAAGACCAAGTGTTGGCAAGTTTGTCGCACACACCTTATTTTTCTGCAAAGATGTAAATGCAAAAGCCTCTCCCCTGTTGACTGAATTTTGGTGTTTTGGTGAAATTTTTTAAATTCATATTTTTCTACTAAGACATACTACATTTTGGTGAATAAGGAGGACCAGTGCTTCCAAGGACCAATCTTACACTGATCAAAATAATCAGAAAAATCACTTTGGCCATAATTGTTCTGCCCTATCTTAACAGGAAGAGTATTCTAATACACGGGCAACCGTATCAGTGGATTACCTCGGGGCTGGCTCCGCGGCAGTGTTCCTTGGCCACTATGTTGGTATCCCTTCCCCAGTGTAGCCTGCTGGGTTTACATCGAGTAGATTGAGGAAGCCGCCAGGGTCTGAGGTTTCTGAAGCACAGGTGGGGGACAATCAGAGAGTTCTGGGGTGTAAGGTCGCACAGCAGCAGCTGGAGGACTCTCCTGCTTGTTGGGCAAAGGGAGGGTGTTGCTATGACTGGACAGAATTCCTGGAGCCCTGAGGGGGGCCCCAACTGGCTTCCCCTTACCAGGGAAGGTGCCAGTGTTATAGGGGGCTTTGGAGAAGGCTGACAGGCCAGAAGATCGGAATGGTTTGGGCTTGCTGGGAACTGGAGGTGGTGCTGTCAACTTGGAAAGACTTTTGGATGAGACCTGAAAGTAAAATATAGCAAACGTGGAAACACAGGGTTATACTCAGAGATTGATGATATAACTGCAAAATACAGAAAATGAAGCAATAAATCAAATATCAAAATGAGCTGAAATGTAAAATGGCTTTACATTAAAATTGTAAGTGCTCAGCAGCTATTAACCAGTTTGAGTTTGACTTTTCATATTTAACCTTACAATTATTGTACTGTAATTGTCGGGCTATAAGCCGCTACTTTTTGCACAAGCTTTGAACTCTGCGGCTTTTAGTCAGGTGCGGCTTTTCTGTGGATTGTCCATGATTTTTGTGATATCGTAAGAGGATTTGTTTTGTTTGTTCCGCTGTTGTACGGCACTACGTTGCCTGGCGGAAGGGCATGTGATCAGACACACAGTATCGGGGTTCAAGAGTGGTATGTTGGTCACATGTCCGTCCGCCAGGCAACGTAGTGCCGTACGCGTAGCGCAAAAAACAAATTTCAAAGTAGCGCTACGCGTTCAGCGGGAGGCGTGGATGATGAGCGGCGATAAACTTGCGAAAAGCAAGTTATGCTCAACTCCACCGGTGGATTCTGACAGCGTGGAAAAGTGTGAAAACATCCACGATCACCAACGGATTTCGAAGGGCTGGACTGCTGCATGATGGAGAGGAGGACACCGCCACGGCCCTTCTGAGGGTGTTCGACTCCGACACTGACAACGAGGATTTCTTTGGTTTTGAAAGTGACAACGAAGGAGAGAAGAAGAGTGGATGACGAAGCAATCATGAGCCTGTTTGTATCCGACACTGGAGGAGAGGACTTTGGTGGTTTTAGTGCAGGAAGATGGTGGTGAATGACTGACTTTTCTTCTTGTTAAATCCGTGTCACTGCACCTGAGCCTAAAAGGTAGTCTGAATCTATTTTTCTGGTGTGCTGTAGGTTATTGTTATGTACTACATTTGTTACTCATTTATGAAGCACAGTACATGTTTCGTACTTGTAATTACCAGTACTTGTACATATACCTAAAAAGTTATGCAAATATGTACCCATAACTTGTTTTTCAAAATATTAATAAAAGTTATGTCTCCAAACAGCCATCTCTTTCCTGACAATTCGCTTTGTGCATATTCTCTTACATATGATAAGTCAACATTGAAGCACCTGCGGCTTTTGGTCAGGTGCGGCTAATGTATGTAGAAAACAGGATTTTCCCCTGATTTTAGCTGTATGAGATGTAGAGACTAAATGGAAGCCCACTGATACCTGATTGTCCCTGAGCAGGTTCTCTGTGGAACGATTAGATCGTGAGGGGATGGGAGGAGGAATGTCAGACCCAGAGTAGCTCTTGTCTATGGCGGTCTCACCACCTAGAAAAGAGAAAGTAACTCGAACATCCGTGGGACTTTGTTTAAACACTTTTCTATCTCCCAGATCTCATTCCTTCTATTCTCAGGTTGATTAGCCTGTCATTTGTACATGGTATTCTATGAATGCATGGATAGACCATCCTTAAATTAGGTTTTCAGTGAATGTCTCAATGTCTCAATGAATCAGCATGCCTGAACGTTTATGTGTCAGATTAGAAATGTAGTAACAAATGATTGTAAAGGCATAGAAAGTTTAAATCCTCTTTCTGCAAAAGGTAAAACAGAAACAGGACCTAACTGACCTGAGTTGCGGCAGCTTAGACTCGACATGCGAGGCAGAGTGGAGGCATGCTCGTAACCCCTACTGGATTCGGAAAATGAGCTTTCCCAGTCAAAGATCTTGCTTGTTTTTAAGGTGTTGAAACCTGTGAGGCAGAGATAACTACATCAAGTAGAGTTTTGGTACTAGAAATAGAAGTGACTAACTCAGACTCAAATAGTGTTTCAGCATGCTAGGACAGACTCAAAACATAGAAAAATATATTTCTTACATCACGGAAACATGTACCTGAGGCTGGTTTGACAGGCCTAGGAGGTGGCTTCAGTGATGAATCAGCCATGGGCAGGGTGACAGTGCCATCTGGGTATGCTGGCTTCACCAGAATCTCCTGGCGGACCGGCACAGGTGGCCCCTGAGAGCTTGATGTGGAGGATGACTGGATGTACGGCCCCACCGCTGCCACTCTGGAGCCCATGCTATATTGTGGGGCTGTACAGTCTGAAGCCACCTGGAGTGAGCAGAAATGTTTGACTGCTGCAGCCTTTTCGATCAGTACTTGTATATTAAGCAAACAACAACAAAGCAAAAATAAATGTTTTGTACAAAAAACAAACAAAAGAAAACTTGAAATTGTAGAAATCTACTTTTGCTGATATTTTTTCCTATATAAACTCACTGGCTGGTTCTCACTCTGCTGCAAAGCAGCCTTTTTCTTCCAGAGCCGTTCCCGGAGTTCAACCAACCGACGGTCCATCGCAGCTACTTCCAAGTTCCTTTTGTTCAAGCTGTCTCTCTGCTGCTGCAGCCTGCCACTATGATCCTGATTCAGCTTGTTTCTTAGCTGTTTGGAAAGGAGGGGGTGAGAAGTCAAAGTATGATTGAAAACCAACAGAAAAAATATTGTCTAGAATAATTTATTAGACACTAGGTTTAACCTCCTAGCAACTGTAGCTGGAAGTACTAACAGTGTGAGATAGAGGTATGTACAGCCTGATATCAAATCACTCCCTATATCAGTGGTTCCCAAACTTTTTTTGCTAGGCCCCCCTTTGTTTTATAAGAAAAATGTTCATTTAGTTTACATTTAGTAAACAATTAAACAAATACAAGTAACCTGCAATAAATTACAGGTAGTAATAAAATACACTACTAACTCTTTTACGCTACATCCACACCTGGGTTTGGCTGTCGGAGGGGTGCTTTTTTGAACTGCAGGTCCTTGAAGGGTAATACAGTTTGAAGCTGGAGGATCGCTATATTAATATCCGAGAGAAGCTAGGTCCCCTAACTAGTGATGTGCAATACCACTGATTTCCTTTCCGGTCCGATACCAAGTAATATTCAGGGTGGTATCGACGATACTGATCCCCTCCGGCAGAACCAGGCTCAGGGAGGGGCGGGGCCATCTGCTGCGACCGGTTGGGGTGAGAGAAGGAAGACAGGATAAAGACATGCTGTGGAAGAGAGACAGAGGTTAATAACAGATATGATTCAATGCAGAGAGGTCTGATTAACACATAGTGAGTGAGAAAGGTGACTGGAAAGGAAAAACTCAATGCATCATGGGAATCCCCCGGCAGCCTACGTCTATTGCAGCATAACTAAGGGAGGATTCAGGGTCACCTGGTCCAGCCCTAACTATATGCTTTAGCAAAAAGGAAAGTTTTAAGCCTAATCTTAGAAAGTAGAGATAGTGTCTGTCTCCTGAATCCAAACTGGAAGCTGGTTCCACAGAAGAGGGGCCTGAAAACTGAAGGCTCTGCCTCCCATTCTACTTTTAAATACTCTAGGAACAACAAGTAGGCCTGCAGAGCGAGAGCGAAGTGCTCTAATAGGGTGATATGGTACTACAAGGTCATTAAGATAAGATGGGGCCTGATTATTTAAGACCTTGTATGTGAGGAGCAGGATTTTGAATTCTGGATTTAAAGAACAAAGGGAAGCCAAAACAGGAGAAATATGCTCTCTCTTTCTAGTCCCTGTCAGGACTCTTGCTGCAGCATTTTGGATAGCTGAAGGCTTTTCAGGGAGTTTTTTGGAATCCTGATAATAATGAATTACAGTCGTCCAGCCTGGAAGTAATAAATGCATGAACTAGTTTTTCAGCGTCACTCTGAGACAGGATATTTCTAATTTTAGAGATGTTGCGCAAATGGAAGAACAGCAGTCTTACATATTTGTTTAATATGTGCTTGAAGGACATGTCCTGGTCAAAAATGACTCCAAGGTTCCTCACAGGTTACTGGAGGCCAAGGTAATGCCATCCAGAGTAAGAATCTGGTTAGATACCATATTTCTAGCTTTTCAGGGCCGAGTACAATAACCTCAGTTTTATCTGAATTAAGAAGCAGAAAGTTAGCGGCCATCCAGGTCTTTATGTCTTTAAGACATTCCTGCAGTTTAACTAATTGGTGTGTGTCATCTGGCTTCATGGACAGATAGAGCTGGGTGTCATCAGCATAGCAGTGAAAATGTATGCTATGTCTTCTAATGATGGGGAGGTCAGCAAAAACGACTGCTTCAGCACACACTGTGACGTGCACAATCATGTACACATACAGCCTGGTTTACAAATAACTCTGTCATCTGGCAACTACAAGTGGTTCCTTGATCATATCATTGTTGGAACATAAAGAGCTCATACTGGTCCTCCACCTCCGTGTCGACTCACAAAGTCACCTCACTTATTACCTAGCAGCTCCTGCTTCTCTGGAGGCATCTTGCAGCAGGCACTATACCTCATCTGTGGCAGTCGGTGAGATTTAATATAAATGATTCATGAACACACACTAGTAGGGTTTAGTTTTAAAAAATGAACAGGCTTGGCTTGACATATTCATCATGTATTCCATACTACTTTAGATGCTGTAATAAGTACAAGAACCCTACTGACATGAAAGTCTAATATGAGCCTGCATATTCAGCTAGAGTGCATGCTGCATTGATTACTATGTTATTATCTTTGCATAAATCATTCTCTAACTCAATGTTAATTATTCGTGTGTTGCATGCTAGACATTCAGAAGTTCCGGTGCTCCTAACTTCTCATTAATCTGTATTTGGAGTCTACTGTGTTTATAGATATGGCAACTATTTTTTCACGCTCTACTCTTTATTTCCTAACTGAACAAAATGTTAGCGAGCATTATTACATCTTCTTGTATTGATCTCAAGGTAGTATATAATCTGTGAGATATATCATGTGGTTCAACCCACATGATGCAGGGTGTATTCATGAATCCATATCCTACCCAAGATCCTTCTCTATGGATCTTTCTGAAGAAATTTTGATGTGTGATTGAGTATGTCACAGAATCAAAAAACGATAATAGACATGTACCTAGGTGTTTAACACCCTCTCGCTGAGATGGTGTTGTCGCGTGGCTTTGACTTACGTCGCAAACTACCTCGTGCGCCATATAAGCGTGATCGATGATTCACTCGTGTTTGTAATAGGTTGAAGTATCTCTCCCGGTCCCAGATCTTGAGCCCAGGTTGAGAGGTAAATGTGAAAGAACAACAGACTCGAGACATGGTATCTTAGATACTACTTTGCCCTTTTGGACCTAAATAGTTCCTCTTCACTTAACATACAAAACTATGAGTCAGTATCCAGATAATCCTTGAAAGGTTATATTTGTAATTACTTCTACACTTAGATTAGAACAAAGCGTGTCGCAACCACTTGGATCGGTGCGATAATTTATATTACGTGATGTCTAGGTGAGCTATTACGTTGAAAGTGTCACACGTACAGATAATCATGTAGATGAGGTAGTACTATAAGAGAGCGTTGTTAATCATCAACTTCTTTTAATTCTCATTGTCCATATACGGCAGTGGTCATACCAGCGACTTTTGTGAGTGAGCGCATTTACATCATGGCCTTTTTTACTGGTGTCACAGCGGTTGGGCTTATCTCGTTTTTATACAGCGTCAACTTTAATCTTATCTGAACCTGTAGTGTTGCAGTTAAATGTTGAAGTGCTTACAGAACAGGGCTACACAGGGTTATGTGAAAAGCTATGTCTCATACCTACATGCCTGAGTAATGCGCTTACTCATTATGTGTAGGTTACACTAATTTCTCAAGTTCAACTTTTTCTGGAAAATCCAAGATCCATGTTTAGAGGAGACGTCTCGTCTAACCTCTCAGCAAATTCATCAACTTAGACAGACGCTGCAGTTCTTATTTTTTATCGTTCCTTCTAAAAGTGCCTGCACCTTTAGTTAACAAAAAAGAATAAATACCGTACTGCAGGTCTGAGCGCTGCACCGGACCACACCTGGACCGCTAGATCGTGTTTTGTTGAAAGCTACAAACGGCTAAGTCGTCAAAGAATCCTGATTCGAGTTGGCAGTCAAACAAAACACGTTTCATTCCAGTGACTTAAGTTAGACTTGAGGTGGCCTTGACTGGGCTTATTCCCAAGTGCACAAAACAAACCTTTCATGTGGAAGGCATACGCCTCGCTATTACAAGTAATGCGTTCCCCATCTTTTTCTTACACACAGAGCATAAAGTGTTTACGACCCCGTGTTTTAGAGGTCACATTCAGACTTTTATTCATTACTCTGTCATGTCAAATGAGTCTATCAGCTTTCCCCATCCCATGCATTTATGTGACTGAGGTTGTTAAACAAAAATGCGGTGAAAGGTGGTGACCATGACCTTTGACCCAATAGAAACGTAGATACAAATGTCAAACCAATAACTAGCTTCCTTCTCAAAGCAACCGATTGCCTAAACAGAAGCAGTTGCTGACGAGTAATTCATCGGCCACATTGAGCAAGAAAGGGGGAAAGACACGGATAAAACAAATGGGCTGCTTATCTGGCTCACAATGCGAGCATTTTTAATGAAGCCTTTATTAGTTTGTTGAAAATTACATTTTCTTTTCCACAATTAAGGGGAAGTTGCGCTTCCTTTTATCAAGGTTCCCCATCCATGCGCCAGGTTTATAACCTCGAAACCTACAGAGCATTCATATGAACAATTACTAGGTAGAACATAAGCACTCAAAGGCCTTTAGATAGCAATAGTGCAATATATCCGCTTTCTGTGTTTCCAGTGTGACAACTGATAAACTAATTGTGCATAGACTATAATAACACATGGTAATATAATTAATGGTCTCCAGATGTGGGAACAAGCAGGAAATCTTTTATATAACCTCTCTACCCAATTTCAGTTTATGAATGTGCTTGTTGCCAGATGATCATATTTCAAGTCTTTGAACCATGTCGTTTGAGGTATTTTAAGTGTTTTAGGGGTAAAACTGGAGGACCCTCATGTTTGTTCCTTCCATCTAGAGCTGGTTTTAAAATTCATCATGGGCAGAGGGTAAGGGGGCCCTAAGCAGGGAATAAAGGGGCACTACTATCACCACGCTTTCTCCAGCTGGGAGAGTGGACTCAAGCCTGCAAGCACAACGTCTAATAAGTTCAATTCAAAGGGATTTATAGATTTTAACATTCAAATTTATAATGTCTGGTTTGCATTTGGGAGGTCGGCTTTTTAACAAAAGCACGACGTTATAAATGCTCACGAGAAAAGAAAAGGAAGCCGATTGAGACAAGAAGCACGGCGGGACAGATTGTATCATAAATCTGAGGGAGAAACTGGACTGCAGACAAGTCAGAAATGCATAGCCATTCAAAATGATATGTTTATTTTATTTTGTTAACTATTATCCCAAAATTGCAATTTGTATTTTGCCCATTTACCCCTTCAACTATTTTCAAGCAAATTTGTGTTTGCTTAGTGCACTTTATAAATTAAATTGTCCCAGTTTCTATTCTGCTTTTCCTTCTGAGTTGGGATTACAATTTAGAGGGAAA